TTCGTAAATGCAAAATTTGTAAGGGAGTGTCAAACCGCGGCTGTCAATAATTATCTAACCTTGTATTATTGAATCATGGGGTGCTGCCATATATGTAATACTTCTATATTGCTAGTACAATATGAACGCAATGAGTTTTCCATTCGAAATCAAAGAAAGACAGCCTTTGAAAATTTTTGTGATTGTAGAAGTATACGTGTATATTTGTAAACTAATACATAGAATGAAGTTCCATATCATAACAGGGCCGGTTCAGGGAATTCAACAAACAAACACAAATTTGACGGTCTCATGTTTCCTTCACGCTGAAATGTATATCGAGCCCTAGCCGCGAAAATGAAGTAAGACAAATTTTTTCAAAATTTAATTTTGATGCATAAATGCCTCTTAGAGCACCTGCATTAAAAAGTAAATTTAAAAGAAATATATATATCGGTATAACGAATTTCTCCGATGTTCCTCGTTATTTGGAAATCTGGAAAAATGGAAGATAGAAGATCTTTTCCTAACAAAGACAAAACTTATTTACACATAAAGCTGTGTGATATTTTATATGTTGGCCGAATCCAATAAAGCACGTTATTCGATTGCCTTCTATGCTGATTGACGCCAATTGGAAATGCCAAATGAAGCCGTGTTCCAGTCGCTTATTCAGATCCGTATCTATTACGATCAATTCTCACGCAGAAGATAATGTGCCAAAAACCCTACTGAAAAGGAGAAAATAAATTTTAAACCAAAAATTCAATACAAAAACTTGAATTGTTTTAACCATAACCGAACATTTGTTTGTGTATATATTCATTTGTTGGTGCTGTCAATTAAAATTTCTTCACTTAATTAGGACACAAAACAAACAGAGTTGATCACAAATTGATCCAGATTTCTGTCAGCATCACATCGATGTTGAATTTGCGGAACTTCTTTATCCAAATAATGTAAAATACTAAATGAAATCTCGATCGGCGATCATTGAAACGCCGCTAGTCACTGTATACGCGAAAAAGCAATGTTGCGACTTTTTCTCATTAAACCATGTTCGAATCGTGGAAATTTTGGAAGATCACAGGGTTGCTTTTAGCATTTAGATTCTCAATGCATAAATGGAGTTGCATTTAGGTGACGAACTTTGTATGGATAAATGTACATTTAGAGTAGCATTTAGAGCTAAATGCGCTAAATGTGCTTTTACGCGTAAGCGAAAGCAGCCCATTAGAGTCGATTTTATTTCGACTATGAATATGCTTCAATAAGTTTCGAGAGGTAAAATTATGAAAGTTTTATATACGTGGTATAAAAGTTGTGAATTACTTCAAGACACTTTTTGTCCGACTTTCGAAAACTTTTCAGAGGTAACACTGCGCAGGTATATAAGGCCGCTGATACACCGAAGTCAGTTAGTTGAAAGTCAGCAGGGCATGAATCACGTAAAGGTAAGGCCGCACTAAGCGACGCGACACTGCAGCGGCACTACGCGACACTTTTTGGTATATCGCACTGAAACTGCAGCGGCGCGACACTTCGCTGCAAATTCTATTCTAGTTTTGCTTCACGTAACAGTAACAGTAATACGTAACAGCAACACAAATGCATAAATCAGTGTTTTGACGACGTCGTTTTGTCAGTATCGTTTGAACGACTATCGTTTCAAAGTTGTGTGATTCAAGTCAGTTGCGTGTCAGCAAGCTATAAGTTCAGTTGTGTTAGCAAGTTTGGTAAAGTGTTGTAATTGTCTTAACAAGTATTGTAAATTGTTGTTATTGCATAAACAAGTATTGTAAATTGTTTGTTGTACAATAAAGTTAATTGTACTGTAATTTGGTCTTCTTGAGTATTTTGAGTATTTATTTAACAATCCAGCGATACAAGCCGAAGCATTTTGGGAAATCCGCAAGAATGATAGAATACAAGATTGCGCCGATCAGAGAGGATTTTTGAGAATAACTTTTGTGTGACGTCACACTGGTGCAATTGCGAGAGAGAAATGCCAAAACGTGAGCAAGAATGGAAGAAGAAGAAAAAATGTTGCAAGGAAAATGTAAACAAGATGCACCAGTGTGACGTCATGCAAACGACGGTTCTGTCAAATTCGTTAAGAGAGGAATAGCGGTCCGAGATCGGCGCAAACTTTGCATTCTCTCATCCTGGGAAATCCGTCAAGTATTCAAGGAAAATTTGGGGTGTTCACAGTTCGTTCCAAATTATGTCTGAAAATGTAGACGTCTACATTTTGAGACATCTTTAGCATCAAACTGTGAGCACCCCTTTCTAGCAGTCGTCGCAAAATCGTCTCAAAACTGTGCTGGTGTTGCCAGACATTTCCTCTTTACGTGCATTTTTTATATATCGCCTTTCGATTTTGTTTCTCAAAAATTGTAATTATTTAACTTAATTACCAATTCCTAATATTTGTTATTTCTTTTCCTTGATTTGTTTCTTTTCATCAGAAATCGCGCTCAAATTAAATGCAAATACAAAAAACGTGCCCAATAAATAAAAAAAATGTGATTAGTATTGCCATAATGCAACCCTGCTGCGAGGTTGCAAAATGTACACGCGTAAAAAACATACCTTTGAGTGTGACAAAATGTAGACGGCGTCGTTTTCCAATTTTGTATGGGAAACAACAACACCACAGATTTTACGGTTAGAAAACGTCTTAAAATGTAGACGTCTACATTTTCAGACACTATTTGGAACGAACTGTGAACAAAAAGATCTAATCGTCATAGTGTTTAGACGTGTTTTTATTTAGCTCTCGCTATGGATATTTTAACGTGCTCTAAGTGCTCGAAATCTTTACGTGTTGGCTATGAAATATCATGCCAAGTGTGCAAAAGTAAATTTCATAAAATTTGTGCTAAAGTTGATAGCAAAGAAGTATCCGACTTACTTGCAAATAATAAAAACATTGTTTTCAACTGCAACAATTGCTTTAGCTCAACATCGAATTTAGTTTCGGCTATTGCTTGCCTTACCAGTGAGGTCAGTGATCTTAAACGATCGATAGCAAAATTGATAAGTGGCGAATGTAAAATTGTTAGTACTGCGCCTGGCTTCGTCTTGTCTGCTGATGCTGGTGTGCTGTCGCCTGGTGTCACTGCTTTGGATGATTCGGCTTTTTCTGCCGACCATCGCTCATCTATGCTTGCTGTTGTTGCTGATAAGCCCTTGTTGGCTCGTACGAATTTCGTGACAAAAGGACCGACCGTACCAACTGATGATGATTCTAATGCTGCTAACACTCAGCTACCTGCTAAAGTCAGTTCTCAGACTGAGAATACTCTTCCAAAGCAATGCAGTTCTCAAGCTGTTGTTGGTGATAATACGACTGCATCTACCTCTTCGACTTATGCTACTTCTGCACTTTCGTCTACGTCATCTTCGTCCTCAGTTTCTGCTGGCATACATACTTCTGCAGCTGATTGGAAAATTGTAGAGAACAACAAAAAAACGCAGTTCTCAGACTAAGAATACTCTTCCAAAGCAATGCAGTTCTCAAGCTGTTGTTGGTGATAATGCGACTGCATCTACCTCTTCGACTTATGCTACTTCTGCACTTTCGTCTACGTCATCTTCGTCCTCAGTTTCTGCTGGCATGCATACTTCTGCAGCTGATTGGAAAATTGTAGAGAACAACAAAAAACCCAAACATTTGATTATTACTGGTAATAGCTCTAATTCTGATTTGGAAGTGGTTGAAGTAAAGAAATGGTTTCACTTATCGTCGTTCCTTCCCACTGTAACCGCGGACAATATAATTGACTATGTTGTTAGGCATGCTGGTATAGATAAGAAATTTATTTCATGTTATTCATTAGTTAAAAAACAAACTCCGGCTGTGAATGTAAAGCGGGTTAATTTTAAGTTAGGTGTATCTGTTGCGCTTTACAATAAGGTGCTATCACCTGATATCTGGCCTGCCAATGTAAGTCTGCGCCCTTTTCGTTTTTTTCGAAAAGAAGAGAATCAGCAGCGAGTAATATAAATAATAATAAGGCTACTAGTGGAAGTTCGAATTTGAAGGTGTATTTTCAGAATATATCTGGCCTTCGAACTAAGTCAGAAGATGTTCGTATATTTAGCTCTCAATTGGATTATGATATCTTCGTCATTGTTGAGACGTGGTTACATCCGAATTTTCTTGATGATGAATTTTTTGATTCGAAACTGTTCAATGTTTATCGAAAAGATAGAGATCCGGTAAAAACTGGCTGTGTAAGAGGTGGAGGAGTTCTTGTTGCAGTTCAACGGAAGCTGCTTTCTTATTTTGTTGCTCTTGATAATAATGACTCACTTATTGATCAAATTTGTATATGTGTCAGTGGTTCCTCCTCCAAGGACTCTCTTTTCTTTTTGGTCTCTTATATTCCCCCAAATAGTAATGATTATCTTTATCGTGCGCACGCTGATAACATAAGCTCTTTAGTCCTGAATAAATTAGGTAATAATCATTTATGCATTTTAGGTGACTTCAATTTATCCAATATTTCATGGTCCGCTTCATTTTCTAATTTTGGCCTCACACCAACTAATGTTACAGCATATCATGAATCATATTTGCTTGATAGTTTATTAAGTTTCAATTTAGTGCAAATTAATAATTTTGTTAATAAATTGGATCGTATTCTTGATCTTATCTTTATTAGTGACAATATTAACTGTAAAATCGAGGAATGTTACTTTCCTATCTCTCGTTGTGATAAGCATCATGTGCCTTTAGTTCTCAATTTTCGTTTTATAATTTTTTTACTATACCTTCTGCAGAAGTACTCAGCTTTAACTATTCTGCTTGTAATTTTTCAGAATTAAATAGTTTGTTGTGACCCATCCTCTTGTGAGCGCTATGCACTCCACGCCCAA